GGATCGCCGGAGCCCAGCAGGTAGAGGCTGCGGTGGCCGGCAGCGGCCACTGCACTCCAGTCTAGGCGACAGAGTAAGACTCCAACTCAAAAAAAAAAGAACAGGCAAAGATGTAGATAATGGTATAATGGACACTGGATACTCAGAAAAGGGAAGTGGGAATGGTGGAGGGTCAAAAAATCATCTATAGGTACAATGTACACAGGTGAGGGTGATGAGTACACTTAAAGTCCAGATGAAAATTATTTGTACCAACTAAAGCTATTGAAATAAAAAAAGATTTAGAAATCATGTCTGAAACTTTGTTAAGGAGTACAAGCTTTGTATTTCAGCTAATTGCCTAGAGTTGACTGTCACCTGTCACTTATGGAAAACTCGAGGTCGACTTTAGTGAGGCACTGGACTTCTCCGGCCTATTTCATCATCTATCAAATGAAGATGGGAAGAAGGGGATGCCTACTTGGAAGACAATGGGAAGGCTTAATTGAGGTTTTGAGTAAAGCATCAAAGAGGTGCTGGGCACTTTATATGGTCTCTGCTGTGACAGTGACCCTGTATGCTGGCAGACTGTAAGCAAGATGGCGCATCTTCAGCCTGGAAGAAGGCAGCTGCATCCTCATCACTTTGTGCCCCTCAGACTAGAAGACACTTCTCTCCTTAAGGAGCCTGAGTAACAAGACTAGACCAATGAGCCTTGAAGAATCCAAGGAGATCCTCTCAGGGGAGAGGCCTAGAGACACTAAGTCCTGATTGAAAGGAGGAACATACCTACATCTTTTTCTGGGAGAAGATGAGCCTGGCTTGTTGCTGCAGAATGGCTTGGAGGGTACCTATCTGCTCATCCTGAGCAACTGCCTTCCTCTGGTTCTCTTGCAGGGAGGTCTGGAGTCTCTGGATCTCTTCCTGCAACCTTTGGGCACAAGATGGGTGATCAGTCAAATGTCTGCAGGGACTTCCGAGTGCTCAGTGTCTGCAGGGCCAGCACCTGGAAGGAAATGCTGGTCAGGGGTTTCACTGGAAGCAGGAAAAAGGATTTCTACACCTGGGCAGATGACTTTCTAAAACAACTAATGATCTTCCAGTATGGGGACATTTTGGAGCTGCTTCCAAAATGTAAGTATGAAATGCAGGTCCCTAAGACCATGAAAGAATGAGTTTTTGGTTAGATGTGGTCACCCATTGAAGGACAAACAGGTAAATGAAGACCGTTTAAAATCACTCAGTGAATGTTTTTAGATGAAAACGAAAGTGAAGAAAATATGTTAACATGCTCCCACTGATGTAAGAGCAGAGAGGAAATGAAACTTATTAAGACTGAAATAAAGAAACTCTAGCAGAATGCAGTAGAAAGGAATAAAAGTCATATCTGGGAAGGGGAGCGCTGGGGATGGGTAGATGAGGATGGAGGTGAGTAAGATTATACTCAGTGATCTTAAAGCATTTATCCTGCTTTTGGAACAAATGTGAATGCATTTTCTTTTGGAAAATATTTCAGATAAAACAAAACCAACACATGTGAATTATCATGCATACCTATCCTGCAGTGGGGAGAAGAGGAAGCTTACCTCAGTAGGGAGGCTTAAGTGAGATAATGAGTCAAAGGTCATAGAGTTGCTGGGCACTTCATGTGGTCTCTGCTGTTAGAGTGATCCCATCTGTGCAGTCCCTAAGCAAGATGACGTCTCTCTGGCCTGGAAGGAGGTAGTTACATTTTCAACATTTTGTGCTCCCCACATTGGAGGAATCCTCTCTTTCCTTAAGAAGCCTGAGAAATAAGGCTTGTGCTGATGAATGCTGAAGAATTCAAGAAGTTTTTTTTTCTGGGAAGAGGACTGGCTGAAAGAAAGAACAAACCTACCATCTTTTCCCAGGAGGCCTAGGAGGTCACAAACCTTTCTTATCCCTGAAGTTGGGCCTGGTGTTCCAACTGAGCAATTGACTTTCTGTGATCTAAAAGGGACAGCTGAAGTCTCTGAATCTTATCCTGCACCTGTTGGATAGAGGATGGTGGTTAGTCAAATGTCTACAGGGGCATCTGAATGTCCAGTGCCAGCAAGACCAGCACATGGAGGCAAATGATGATCAAGCATTTCACTTGAAACAGAGGAAGGGTTTCTACCCTTAGACAGATGGCAGGCCAGACTGCAATGGCATGATCAGAGCTCACCACAGCCGTGATCTGGGCTCAGGTTATCCTTCTACCTCAGTTTCCAAGCAGTTAGGTCTACAGGCACATACCACCATGCTTGGCTAATTTATTTTTTATTTTTTATAGAAATGAAGTCTTACTATATTGCCTTGGCTGGTCTCTAACTCCTAGGCTCAAGCAATTCTCATACCTCAGTCTCACAAAGTGCTGGGATTACGGGTGTGAGTCCCTGAGCCAGGCTGGAAAGTAGCTTTCTAAGAAGACTAATGACCTTTCAATTTGGCTACATTTTTGAGCTGCGCCTAAGAATAAGTGAGACTGGAATGCAGGCTCTGGCTGGATGGTTGACCCCTTCTGAGCACTCAGAATCTGATGGGGGTCAGCAGACAAGAAAAATATTGGCAGCATAATATCTGCCAACCAGTTCCAGGAAGGGTGTGGAGAGTGAAGGGAGGATGCTGAATTATAAGTGGCAGTCACAGGAAACCAACATTAGCCATGTCTTAACTCCTCAATGTTTTCCTAGCGTCAAATGTTCGAGCACATGTATGCCCAACATTGGCTTTCTGTTGTGTCAATTCTCATTTCCAGACTGCTGCTTATAACACTGCATAGAGTTCACTTTCTTGGCAATACAAACCTTCATGGTATTTTTCTTTCTGTTAGAGACTCCTTTAGCATCTGGATTTTCTCCATAGCTAGTCTAGTGTTCTCTCTTCAGTCACGTAACTTGGCCAAACAAGCTCTCACACTTCTGTATCAGGGAAATTGTTTTGAGAATGCTTTTACAATTTTTACAATGCATTTAAATCTCATTGACCTTCCTAACATGAAGAGGAATCTTTTCTTGTGTTTTGAGAATGGACTTTCTTACAGAGATGTTCCATGTTCACTCTAAATGGAATCTTACCTGTTTTGCTCCTGAAATTTTAAAATATAAATTAATAAAATGATTATCCAACTACACGGACAATTGTACATCCAGTTTTGTTCTTATAGTTTTACAAATGTAAATGACAGAATGTTGAGAGACAGGGGTGAGACACAAATACCAAAACATAGCATAGGTAATACTATAGTAGAAAACAATTTTTTAAAAAGATGTGATGTTCCAGTTTAGGAGGATGTGATCCAAGTTAAATTAAGAAATCATGAATGGTAAAGGTTATGCCCTCATTTCCTAAAACTTAATTTTCTAACCAAAAGTAATCCTTTGACCCTTGGTGAGGTGGGTTTCTTGTTTTGTTTTGTTTTTGAGTTGGAGTCTCACTCCGTTGCCAAAGCTGGAGTGCAGTGACACGCCCGACTAATATTTTGATTTATTGTAGAGATGATGTTGCCCAGGCTGGTCTCAAACCCACAGGCTCAGATAATCCTCTCACCTCAGCCTCCCAAAGTCCTATGATTACAGCCTTGCAACACTGAGCCCTGCCGGTGAGGTGGTTTTTTTAATGACAACTTTTATTTCAATCAATATCTATTTATCAAATAGTTAGCCACCCAGCATTGTGTGAAAGAAAGGGGGGGAAGTTTAGAAACATGAGCTTGGGAGTGATGGGTATGGAGCTGGATATTAGGAGCATGAGGGAAATGGTGGAACAGCATCTTGTTTTCTACAAATCATCCCTGACCCAATTGGGAAGCATTTACGATGGGAGGGCTTGGGCAATTACAGAGAGGCCCTCCAATGCCTTTCCCCACCTCCCCCACTCCGCATATACATAGAGCTCTCATTCCAATCCCACCACCTTCCATTCTTGGCTTTCCATTTCAGACTGAGATGATGGATCAGCCAAGATCCCACAAATATCGTATGAAGATCCCTATTTGAAATAAACTGTCTAGGTGTGTCATCAGACAACATGAAGAGTGATGGTGAGAAACACTCATACACAATTCTCTTTGATTTAGAAGGACCAACGAGAGATGAACACATTTAAAAAATATTCTTCCTTAGAACTCTTTCCTTGATACAGTTCTAGTAATACAGGTTTATATAGAAAGATAGAGCTCAGGAATAATGTCAATAAGATTTTTTTTGGCATGCATTTGGTAATGTATCCAGGAGAAGAACAGAGCCTTAGACTTTAAATTGCTAGCTTCAAATCCCAGCTTCAGTTTTTTCTAGATCGGTGACCTTGGGGAAGCTATGTGGCCTCAAGTTTCTCATCTGTGAGAAAGTAGTGATAACAGCTTTTAAAAAGAGAGACAGACAGAGGAGAGAGAAAGAGAGAGAGAAGACATTTTTAAAGAAATTAATAAACAAGAGATGCACCCACTTTGAAAATGTTATGGTTGTTAGACTGTTATAGCTTAAATGTGAGCTATTATGTGTGACCTCTATAGGTTCCAACACAGTGTATCAGTGCTCAGAGAATGTTCGCTAGGAGAGAGATACTTTCATTTACATCACTCCTCATTTCTTGTCCAATGATGAAAGCTCTATGCCAAAATAAGGCTATCTAGAGCTATGACTAGACACCAAAAATGTTAGGGACTCTGTATGTGCTAATTTAACCCTTTTAGCAGCCTGTCTTACAGAAAGGAAACTGAAGCACAAAGAGCTTAACCAACTCATCCAAGTCTCACAGCCAGTATGTGATACAGCAGTGATTTCACCCCAGGTAATGTCTTCTGTTATTGACATTGGACCTCACAGTGTAGTAGCCCCCAATAGCAGATGAAATAAAACTAGTGCAAACTAAGAAATACATTTTGGGAACAAATAAGCAGATTTTCAACAAAAGAAAGTAGGAGAGCCTCTTGTGCCGAATACCTGTTCTAGCATAGAGTTCTGGTTGGCAACACTTTTAAGTTCATCCCACATGATGTTTTAAGTTTGTTCAGTTCCTCATGAACTTTGTTTCTCTTTCCACTCATCAAATGTCTTTTTAGCCTCGATTTCCCTCTGATGAGTGATTTCTGCCTCCTACAGAAAATAGCAAGAACAATATTAACATTAATTGCACATTATAACAAATATTTCTAAGAACCTGTGAGGCTCCTTTTCCGTGCAAGAAACTAAGGCAAGAACATTTGTCCCACAGCCCCCATTGTTTGGACTGGGAGATGCTCAAACCAGTCTTACCTGAATTGTAAAGTCCCTGAGGACACAGACTTATCTTCTCTTTTTTGACACAAGCATACCTTGAAGATACTGCAAGATTGGATCCAAAACACACAACAAAAGGAATATTGAAATACAGTGCATATCACAGTAAAGCAAGCCACGTGAATTTTCTGGCATTCTAGAACATCTGAAAGTTACGTGAACTCGATTACAATAGTAACATCAAAAATCACCTCCACATATCACCATAACAGATATATTGGCAAGGAAATCATTTAAAATATTGTTAGAATTACCAAAATGGGATACAGATTCATGAAGTGAGCACACAACACTAGAAAATGGCACCGAGGAACTTGCTTGAAGTCAGGTTGCCACAAACTTCATCCATGAACAGAAGGCAAAGCACAAGAAGACAAGCTATTCTTCAAATATTCTTCAAAATGTCTGGCAGAGTTGGTGCTCAATAGATGCATGCTGAGGGATGCGTGACGAATGAATACATGAAGGAATGAGCAGACTGCATTTGTGTCCCTTCATTCTGCAAACATTGACTGAGCACTTCCTCCAGACTGGGTTCTGGAGTTCAAACATCAGACCCAGCCTTTGTCCTCCAAAAACTAACAGTGTAGTAGAACAAGTAGCAATTCAGGTTCAAATGTTCTCAGAGGGTGCTCACTATGCAAGATACTACATCTCTCTTCTCTACTTTTGTCCACATAGGTCTGCAAAAATAATTCAGTTTTCCTCTCCAGACTACCCAAAATTACTTGCCATGACCAGAAAGGCACCATCCTAGCTCTGTCACTGGGCTCTGGAAAACCAGTCGGCATGTTTACCCTGTGGAACCATGTGCACTGAGGGTCTCCTAGGTAGTCTATGACCTGAGACTTCCTGACATGTCCTCTTCATGCCCCCCTGGAGCTGTTGCTGCCTCTTGGCCTTTCTCTGGTCTTCCAGTTCCCTTTGGGTCCACCATAATTTGGCCTGAAGCTCTACTATGAGTTTTTTCTCCTTATTCTGTTTTCCTGTTGGGTCCATTAAAAGACAGGGGAGCTCGTTTAGGTAAAAAAATCAAGGTAGTAGTTTCTTGTCACTTCAGTCAGTCACCCAAGTTCTGAGGTAAGCATTGCCACTTAGAACATTGTCCTCCGGCAAAGGACATGACCTCCTTGACCTTCTCTTCCGCAAACTGCAAAATGGAGATAACAATAACACCTCACTCAGAGGGCTGTTGTAAGGATGATATGTGATCCTGCAAAGTGCTTAGCATAGTACCTAGAATGACAGCTCCATAAATGTGAGCTGTTCTTGTATTATCACTTAAAATAAGTGAAAGGTGCAGACAACAGTCAGAAGGGCATCCCCAAGATGGCTCTGCCTCCCAAAGACAACAAAGGCCGTAAATTCCTGCCTTTCCCGCCCACGCGAAACTTAAACCTGTGCTCAAACAACCTCTTCCCATAGAAATGCTACCTCATAGTCTCCGCCAATAAGACTCAGGCACGGCACTGACCTGCCCCTGCAAGGTTCATAAATATACCTTTCTCCCTGCATAGCTCTCTCTCTTATTCCCTCTCTCTGTCCCCGTCACTCTCTCCTTTTCTTTCTCTCTCTCTCTCTCTCTCTCTCTCTCTCTCTCTCTCGCTCTCTCTCTCTTGCTTTTTCTGTCTGTCCCTGCCACTCTCTTACTCTCTTGCTCTCTTTCTCTCTCGGTCTCTCTCTCTTTCTCTCTCTCTCTCTCGTCCTTCCTCGGTTACAGTCCCTTCGTGTAACTGCCCCTTTAATAAATCTCTCAGTTCAGACCGGCGTGGAGTAGTTACTGGGCGCCCCAAAACTTCTTTCAATAAGTATTCTGACAGTACTGACACATAGAAATGGAAGTTACTGTAGTAACAGAAGCAAAAGAGTAAATAGTGTGTAAACACTGATTATTGATGCAAAGAATATATCAATCCTGAGAAACATCAAAGAGCAATTTAAAGTAATACTCATTTTAGTTGTAAGTTCACTTTTTCAATAATACAGTATAGCAAATATATAGTTTTCAATTTTGAATGAAAAAGGCAGCATGCATTATAAAGGAATATGTTAAGCAAGGCTATTTTAAGTGTATACTTTAAAGTATTTAAGTTAAAAATAATGGTTCAGAATGAATCATAAAAGAACATTCTAACTAAACCACATGCTGATAAAGCAAGTGTTCTTTTTATTTTCTTTTTCTTCTTTCTTTCTTCTTTTCTTTTTTTGTTTTTTGTGTTTTTTAGTTTTAAACAGGATTTTTTCTGTCACTCAGGCTGGAGTATAGCTCACTGTTACCTCAAACTCTTGGACTCAAGTTGATCCTCCTACCTCAGCCTCCTGCATATCTAGGACAATGGGCACGGATCACCATGCCTGGCTAGTATTTAAAATATTTTTTTGTGGAGGCAGGGTCTCACTATATTGCCCAGGCTGGTCTTGAACTCCTGGTCTCAAGCCATCTTCCCACTTCGGTCTCCCAAAGTGCTGAGATTATTTACATGTGTGAGCCACCGAGCCCTACCAGCAAGAGTTAAGGGTTAATGAAATGGACATCAATTATATTTAGACCTGTAGCTTTTTCAAATATATTTAATGATTTTTAGATAGATGGTCCTGTTTTAAAAACTCTAAACCTTTCCTTTGGAAAGAGATGTAATTTTTCTCAGTGTGAATATATTTAGTTGCAGAAGAAATTAATTTGGTGAACAAATGGATTTAAGGTGAGTATATAATAGGAGAGCTTGGAGACTGGACATCTGGGAAGTCAGCTGCCTCAGAATAGAAAGATCATGAACATGAATGTTACAAAATGTACCTCGAGAACACATTTTCTTTCTCCTGCCATACTTTATATTAAGAAAGTAATAAGAAAGATTGACAGATAAGAATATCTGCAGGGTATGGTGGCTCATGCCTGTAATCCCAACAATTTGAGTTGCTAAGGCAGGAGGACCGTTTGAGACCAGCCTGGGTAAAAGAGCAAGACCTTGTCGCTAGGAAAAATTTTAAAAATTAAAAATACAAATACTAAACATTTAAAATTTTTAAAAATCTCAATCATCAGGTGAAGTACACTACAGAAATTTAGAGTAAGCTGTATATTTAACAGGAGAAATTGTGAAATAAATTATGATAACCAAATGATGAAATACTATTCAGCCATTTAAAATCACATTTCAAAGATAAGTAAATGACATTGTAAAACGTGACATATTCTGAAATGAAAATAAGTAATAGTTAAAGTATATGCTATATGTTTTTATATGTCTACAGAAAAAAAAAAATGACAGGGAATACACCAGAAAACTAATTGCTGGTAATAATGTCAATGTTTTTTATTTTCTTCTTCCTATTTTCTCGTATTCAAAATCTTTAACAAAGACATATTTTATTCAATACAAATTATTTACAATATGGAATTTCTGATTTTCCTAAGCAGCTTCCAAATCAGAACCAAATATATATATGGAATAAATACAAAGTCATTAAGTAAATGATACTGTTTTAAAGCTCAATTTGTAATTTGAAAAAATAGAATAAAATGATGGACTCCTAGCCAGATTGACCAAGAGACGAAAAGCCCAAATAGACACAATCAGAAATGCAAAAGAGCAAGTCACAATTGACCCAGAATAAATACAAAATATATTATCAGAGATTGCTATGCACACCTGTCTAGAAACAAACTCAAAAACCTAAATAAAAATGGAGGAATTTCTGACATCACACAACCTCCCAAGATTGAAACAAGAAGAAATTGAGACTCTAAATAGACCAAAAACAACTCAGGAAATTGACTCTGGCAAAAGGAAACTATCTACAAAAAAAAAAAAAAAAAAAAAAAAAGCCCTGGATCAGATGACTTTCCAGTGGAATTCTATACAACATATAAGGAGTAGCTGATACCAATAATATTGAAAGTATTTCAGCTGGGCGCAGTGGCTCACTCCTGTAATCTCAACACTTTGGGAAGTTGCAGTGAGAGAACTGCCTGAGCCCAGGGGTTGAAGACCAGCCTGGGAAACTTGGCGAGACCTCGTCTCTACAATAAATCAGAAATTAGCCAGGTGTGGTGGTGCACACCTGCAGTTCCAGTTTCTTGGAAGGCTGAGGCTGCAGTAGCCATGGTCATGCCACTACACTCCAGCCTAAGCAATGGAGTGAGACTCTGACTCAAAAGAAAAAAAAAGAAATTATTCCAGGCAATTGATAAAAATACAACTCTCCCAAAAACATTTTTTGAAGCAAACATCACACTTATACCCAAACTGAGTAACAATCCAACAAAGGAAGAGAACTACAGGTCAATTTTCTGATGAACATAGATGAAAACATTCTCAACTAGATTTTAGCAAATTGGTTCCAACAACACATCTAAACAATTATCCACCATGACCAGTAGGCTTTGTCTCTGGGATGCAAGGCTGGTTATCAGCAAGACCATAAATGTAATTCAACACATAAAAAGATGTAAAAACAAGAACCACATAATCATATCATTAGATGCAGAAAAAGCTTTTGATGCAATCCAGTATCCTGACTTGATAAATATCCTGGAACACCTAGGTATAAAGGGAACATGCCTCAAAATAGTAAGAGCCATCTACAATAAACCCACAACAACATATTGCTAACTGAACAGAAATTGGAAGCATTTCCCCTGAAAGTCAGAACAAGACATGGCTGCCCACTCTCACCCCTTGTGTTCAACATAGTGTTGGAAGACCTAGCCAGAACAATCAGACAAGAGAAGGAAATCAGGAGTATCCAAATAAGAAAAGAAGTCAAGTTATTCTTTTTTGCTGATGATATGAACCTATACCTCAAAAATCCAA